TATTGTAGAGGTGAGGTCTTGCCAAGTTGCCCGGGCTGGTCTTGAATCCATGGGCTCAGGCAACTCTCTTGCCTCCGCCTCCCAAAGTGCTGGGATTATAGGCATGAGTGCCACTGCACCTAGCTAACTTCTTTCTTTTTAAAAATTGTTGCAGTTTTGAGAAAAAGTTTGGGGGTGTCCTATTTATGTATTTATTTCTACCATTAGATCAGGTTCCTTCAGTTAGATCAGAATGATATCTTAGTCATCATTCTATCCTCAGCATTTCAAACAGTAAAGCATATTGTAGGTACCCATTAAAGGTGTATTGAACGGATGGGGTCACAATCATTCACGAGATGTCAAAATAATTCTTAATATAGGAAGAAACCATGGTAAAGGAGAAATTCAAAGTGACTGTTTCAGTCTGCTTCTTGCAGAAAATAGAAGGCACATTCAAAATGAGTGGGGGAGAGATTAATAAAGAACTAATTACAAACATGTGGGGAATTTTACTATAACCCAATAGCTAATGCAAAATCTGAGGACCTGTATTATAACTGGAACCTAGAATAGGGGTGAGATACAGGAGACAGTACAAGGAAAGAGAACTATGGGAGGAGGGTAGCCTGACGGAGGCTGTGGTCTTTGGTTGACAGTTGTAGCCACCCCATAATGTTGCCACAGAAAAGAGTTTGATGAAAAAACACCAAGCCTTAATCTCTGTCTCAATATGTATTTTTCTTTTTTTTAAATCTCTGGCTAGTGCTTCCCTGTTTTAGCTGAGTTCAACAGGAAGCCAAGGGCAAAGAAGCGTTCTGGTATACCCTCTTCATATTCTGAGACACAGAGCCTTTGTAGGGAAGGCGGATCATGGGACTGAGGGCAAATGGAAGATCTGGGGGAGTTTTAAGAAAAGAAAATATAGGACATGGGTAACAGTAGAGCAGTTTAAAATAATCCCTGAAGTCAGGAGTCTCTGAAGACAGTCTCAATGAGAGGATTTTCTCTGGCTCCTGGAACTACTGAAAGCAATGACTACATTCTATACTTGTTTATATTGCTTATGTCTCCTAAATACTGTAAGTCCCAAGGGTGGAGACCACCGTCATCAGCACAGGTCCTGGCAGTTTCTCAGTAATTACTAGTTGAATGAATGAACTGAAAAGCCATAGGAAGCCACGTGGCTATGTTAGACTGTAGCCCAACCACGAAAATCTTGTTACCTTAAGCCTTGGTAAGCACAGGAAAGGCCTCCAAAGAATGAAGATATTGAAAGACGTAGAAGGTGGTAGTGTTAAATTCAGTGTTCAGGGAAGAGAGAGATTGAAATCTATGAATCTAATTTTCTATTCATGTGAAAGGAATAATCTTTGTTTGGGAAGGAATGATTCTCCAGGTCTCATCATAATGCTCCTAAGTGTATGGGAACAGAATGGCTATAATTGAGAGAATATTTAGCTTTTGCTGGTGTGAGGATATGTAGCTTCCTATTACTGATGTTATTTGTTGATTTACTCTGAATTATATGTGATTTTATGTTAAGTTTTGTCCCAACACTATTTCAATCATCTTTCAACAAGTTAGAGGATTAGGCAGGCATGTCTGACCCAGAGCTCACATACTGCTCACATGCTGGCAGGTTAGTGGGGGCCAAGGGTGGGAATGTGATAGTGTCTCAGCGTGTTTTAGAAAAGGCAATGTTACTCAAAGCCCACTGCCAAGGGAACTCATGGAAGGGTGTATTGACACAGGTGTTCCATTGTGTAGGCTTACATAGCACTCTGTCTACTTAGTAATCAGGGCCAGGATTTAATGCAAAATTAACTGGAAATAATGGTAAACAACCAGCACCTGGCAGAGTGGATATGCTTCATAAACATTCCTTGACTGTTGAGTGGAGAAGTCAGTGGCATTGTATTATTCTTTAAATAGCTTTTCAGTGTCATGTAGGCACAGTGTGGATGAATTATTTTCACCTTTTTTCCCTGTAATCTTTGAGAGCCAGTAAAATATAGCAGAGGATAAGGTTCAAATCCCAGCTGTATGTCCTTGGGTGGGTTGTTTAACTGTCTTTGTTTCAGTTTCTTTGTTAGTAAAATAGAAATGTTAGTGGTATCTACAACCTAGGACTCTTGTGAGGATTGAATGGAAGAATGTAAACATAAGTAAATCAGTACAATGTAAGTACTGCATAAATGTTGTTATTCTTAATATTGTCTTTAGTCAGTTAACTAATGTGAATTTGGCAGACCCAAACCTATCTTGACATAGCTGAAATCCCTTCATTTTTTTTTTTTTTTTTTTTTTGAGAAAACAGGATTTATTGAGAGGACAGAAAAGTTCTAGAGTGGTAGGGAACCCACGGGGGTTGCTCAAATCCTGTCATTTTTAAGGGGCTATCTCAAGCCTGAAGAAAACACTGGGAAATACTTGTCTTTAGTTATTTAGTGTGAGATGGATATAAAGGTTATATTGGTTTTTAAAATATCTCTCTCTGTTTCTAGATTGCCACCACCCAGGTGCTCGTGAATTTTAGAGAAATTAGTTTTATCCTGAGATAAGGAATAAAATATTATTTGACTCTGGATAAGTCAAGGGACCAAAGAAAATGGATAGCCTTAATTGAATGAATTAGTGAATCACTGAAGCATATAAATATCAGTATACATTTAATTCCTACATTGAAGTTTTTATAGACTTAGCGGCTAATGTGGAATGAAACTAGTGGAATACTAATCTATAGGTAGTCCAGAAAATGGATTGGCATTTTTCTTGGCTGTGACATATCGTTTTGGTTTTCTTTTTTTTGAGTTGGAGTCTAACTCTGTTGCCCAGACTGGAGTGCAGTGGCCGCTCCCGGCTACCGCAGCCTCGCCTGCTGGGTGCCGGCGATCCTTCTGCCTCAGCCTTCCAAGTAGCTGGAACTACAGGCGCGCGCTACCACGCCCGGCTAATTTTTGATTTATGGTAGAGATGAGGTCTCGCCAAGTTGCCCAGGCGGGTCTCGAACCCGCGGGCTCAGGCAATTCACTCACCTCAGCCTCCCAAAGGCGCAGGATTACAGGCTGAGCCACCGAGCTCAGCGGCTGTGACATACTGTAAAAGAATGTTTGTAATGTCAGTGTCCCTGATTTCAAGTACTCTGGGGAGTCTATGATGATGAGACTCTGTCCAGAAGAGCTGCAGTAGTAAAGGTTCTGCGTCACAGATTTTTGAGGTGATGAACCTACTCTTGTAACAAAAATAACTTCGAAAGAAGAGCAAAATGAATATTCTAAAATATGAGAGAAGATAGAGCTATAGCAGTAAACGTAGAAAGTGAAATAATAGTTATCAATCCAAGGACAATATTACATACATGATCTCATTTAATCCTTACAACAAGCCTGAGGATCAGGTATTTTCATTTTATAGATGAGGACATGGAGGGCCAGAGGGGATAAGTAACTGAGCAGTAAAGCAGTATTGCTATCTAAATAACTTGGTTAAATAAAAGACCAGTATGGGCTGGTTGTGGTGGCTCATGCCTATAATCCCAGCACTTTGGGAGGCCAAGGTGAGAAGATTGCCTGAGACCAGCCTGGGCAACTTGGCGAGACCTCATCTCTACAATAAATCAAAAAATGAGCCGGGCGTGGTGGTGTGTGCCTGTAGTTCGAGCTACTTGGAAGGCTGAGGCAGAAGAACTGACTGCCTGAGCCCAGCAGGTCGAGGCTGTGGTGGCTGGGAGCATACCACTGCCCGCCAGCCTGGGTGACAGAGTGAGACTCCAACTCAAAAAAAAAGGATCAGTCTGGGATATTGGCATGGAAAAGGTCAGTAACTATGGGCTGAGAGTCATGACTGGACAAACTCTTGATTCCGAAACCCAAGATCCTCCTTGTAGCACTCTGCTTCCCTCAGTGTGTTGTGGCTCTTCCCTGATATTAACTAGAAAGATTTCTGAACACTTATTGCAGGGCTAATTTGCTAAGTACTGGAAATAGAATAGAAAAGTGGTCATGGCGTGGTTCCAGTCATAGTCATTAATTTATATATAGCAGGATCCTTGGTCTTCCTCTTTGTTTCACTTGGACTAAATAGAAGCCCTTTGTAGGATGGAAGTGGGTGCTGATCCTGATCACAGAACTGATTGAAAGTGGGCAGATAACTTCTATCAAGCTACAAGTTGAAGCAAAGTGGAAATGGGCATGTTGGGAACTTCCAGCATTTCTACCATGTTGGCAAATGGTCAAAGGTATCTAAAATGTACATAACGGGAGGAATTCCAATAGCCTCTGACCCTCTTCCCTTTCTCTAGCTCACCCACATTGAAGTGAACTGCTATTAACTCTATCTACTGAGTATCTGATACATCCTGGACATTTTTTTTTTTTTTTTT